GTTATGAGCTTTCTAAGAGCTAGAATTATAATTCCCAAATTAAAATCTTAGGAGGCAAAAAACCCTGTAATTTTACATACAGAGTATGAAACTGAGGGCAAAGAGAAAAGAGGCAAGCATAAGAACTTTTTAAGTATTAAGTGTAAAGTTTAATAAAAGCCAAAGATATCTAAGAACAAATTATTTTTCACATGTTAATCCTATTTTCTGTCTTATTTGCATATAAATTGCACTGATTGAACCTGAGATGCTTTAAATATTGGCGTAGTTGAGCTACCTGCATTTTAATGTCTTTTTTAGGCTTGAAAGAACTGTCTTAACTGTGCAGAGCCAAGCATTTTTGAGTTTTATTAAATCCATAAATTTTTTAAAGTCAGATCTGAATTGAATTTTTATTTATGCTTGTTGTCAAAATAGCGCAACTTTGTGCCTAGGGTCGCCTGTTACTGTTTTGGTTCTAATATTCTGCTTAGTATAAATGCAAATGTAGAGGTTATCTCTCCCCAGAAGTGTGTCAAACTTAGGAGGCAAACAGGAAATCACAGGATTTTTAATGTTAATCTGCAAATTAGTAGTTTTGTACATGCTGTGGGAGAGGTGGCAATTTCAGAGGAACTTGACTGAAAGGAAGAGGTGTTTGAAGCTTGGTGGGAGTATGGAGTGGGAAGACAGGCGGGATATGTCTTGTGGACAAAAAAAAGATGGGAAATAAATGAGTTTATTTAAAGGTTGCTGAGGCTGATACACTAATAGAACGTAAACTGAGTAGGAACATGGTAAAAAACTCTATCAAATATTTACATTTTTGATGCTGGTGTTCTGGTAGAGTGTGGTGTTAGGGTGATAATGGTCATAGGAATATGGTTGTGGTGGACCTGAATTTAAAACTATATGCATTGCTTAAGGAAAGGATAATTTAGGAAGTACCTTTGTCTTTTTTTTGGGTATTTATTTCGTCTAGTTGTTTTTCTCTCAATTTTCTATTTTCCATTTGCTAATGTTCTACCTTTAAAATTGTTTTAGTTATAAATCTTACTCCATAAGCTAGTCACGACATGTACCACTATTTTTCTTCTTTAAAATATTTCTACCATAGAGGCTCGTAACTGTTGTAGATGCCTTCAGGCATGTTTCTGGGAAGCATGATATGAATTTTATAATGCCTAAACACCAGTTACTTTGGGTTGGGGGGATAGTGTTTTTTTTATTCCCAAATCTAGCAAAATCTCATTAGCTAATTCTTTCACTTGTTTTTGTAGGCTTTAAATGCTGAATTGCCCTTCCCTGTTTTTTTTGAGGGGGTTTGTCTGGATCAGATGGACTGTTCTCAACTGCTTTGTCAATTTTTAGAGATTCTTCATGTGTTGCTTTCCTGTCTGTAGACTTGTAACACACCTGAAATGTTTCTACACCAATGCATGCAGCGTGAGGAACAAAAGAGAGGAGCTCAGAGCTTTGGTCCAGTCCCAGAGATTTGATATCACTGGCATAAGTGAAACCTGGTGGGATGAGTCCTGTGACTAGAGTGCCCTGTTGGATGGTTATAGGCACTTCAGGAGGGATAGGCAGGGCAGAAGAGGTCAAGTGGTATGTAATAGAAGGGTTAGAATGTATGGAGCTCACAGTTGGCAATGGCACAGTTGAGAGCCTCCGAGTAAGAATCAAGGGGGGAACAAATAACGTGGATGTCATTGTGGGAGTCTGCTATAGACTTCCCCGCCAGGATGATAATGCCAACAAGTTATTCTTTGAGGAACTGAGGGACACTTCCAAGTCAACTGCCCTTGTCCTTATGGGGAACTTCAACTTGCCAGAAATCAACTGGGAGCATCACGCAGTTGATACAACCCAGGCCAGAAGATTCCTAAAAAACCTGAATGACAACTGTGTGGAACAGGTCCTAAGGGAGCCGACTCAGAAAGATGCCCTCCTTGATCGGCTGCTTGTCAACAGAGTGGATCTCGTGAGCAAAGTGGAGACTGGGGGCTGTCTTGGCCACAGTGAACACAAAGTGATTGAGTTTAAAATCTCTGTTGACAGGAGGTTTTGTGCCAACAAAACCTCAACTCTGGACATGAGGAGAGCAGACTTCAGGCTACTCAGGCTACTCAGGGAATTAGTAAGTTAGGTCCCCTGAGAAAATGCTGGGGTCCATCAGTGCTGGTCACTTTTCAAACACCACCTCCTAAGGGCACAGGCAATTCCCAAATGCTGGAAGTCAAGCAGGCAAGGCAGAAGGCTGGCTTGGCTGAGCAGGGATCTTCTCTTGGAAATAAGGCAAAAAAGGAAGGCGTTTGCCCAGTGGAATCAAGGTCAAGTGACATGGGAAGAATTCAGAGGTGCTGCTTGCTGCTGTAGGGAGGAAATTCGTGTAGCCAAAGGTCGGCTGGAGTTGAAGCTGGCCAGAAATGTGGGGGGCAATAAAAAGAGTTTTTTCAAATATGTTAATGGCAACAGGAGTATAGAAATATCATTGGCCTGTTACAGGGTGAGAATGGTCACCTCACAAACAGGGACAAAGACAAGGCAGAGGTGTTTAATGCTTTCTTTGCCTCTGTCTTCAACACGGGTGACAGACCAAGGGCATCTTAGTGCCCTGAGCTGGAGGACCATGACTGCGAGAATGATCAACTCCTGTTGACCCTGAAATTGTGTGGGATCTGCTGCTCCAGCTGGATACCCACAAGTCTATGCGGCCTGATGGGACTCATCTCTTGGTGATTTTTGAGTGGTCTTGGGAATCTGGAGAGGTCCCAGCTGAGTGGAAGCTGGTGAACATTGTCCCAATTTTCAAGAAAAGCAAGAAGGAGAACCAAGGAAACTACAGGCCTTTCAGTCTCAATTCAGTGCTTGGTAAAGTTATAGAGAAGATTACTCTGGTAGGTATTGAAAAACACCTGAAGGACAACACAACCACTGGTCACAGCCAGCACAGCTTCATGTGAGGAAAGTCCTGCTTATCAAACCTGATTTCCTTCTATGACAAGGTAACCCTCGTAGTTGATCAGGGGAAGCCAGTTGATTTAATCTTTTTGTATTTCAGTAAAGCTTTCAATACTGTCTCTGACATTATCCTGCTGGACAAAGTGTCCAGCACACAGCTGGATAGACACGTTATGTGGTGGGTGAGCAACTGGCTCACGTGTCAAGCATAGAGGGTAATAGTGCATGAGGAAACATCAGACTGGTGACTTGTCTCCAGTGGGGTTCTGCAGGGCTCCATCTTGGGCCCTGTGCTCTTCCAAATCTTCATAAACAACTTGTATGCAGGACTGGAGGGAATACTAAGCAAGGTTGCAGATGACACAAAACTGGAAGCAGCTGTTGACTCCCTTGCAGGTAGGGAGGCCCTGCAGAGAGACCTCGACAAATTAGGGGACTGGGCAATCACCAACCATATGAAGTTCAATGAGGGAAAGTGCTGACTTCTGCACCTGGGATGGGGCAACCCTGGATGTACGTACAGACTGGGGAATGAGATGCCGGAAAGCAGTGCCAAGAAGAGGAACCTGGGGATCCTGGTCGACAGCAAGTTGAATATGAGTCAGCAGTGCCCTGGCAGCCAGGAGGGCCAACCGTGTCCTGGGAGGCATCAGGCTAAACATCACCAGCCAGTCAAGGGAGAGGATTGTCCTGCTCTGCCCTGCACTGGGGCAGCCCCACCTTGAATATTGTGTGCAGGTTTTGGGCACTGCAATGTAAGAAAGATTAAGCTCTTAGAGAATGTCCAAAGGGGGGCAACACAGATGGTGAAGGGCCTTGAGGGGAAGCCATATGAGGAGTGGCTGAGGTCACTGAGTCTGTTCAGCCTGGAGAAGTGGAGACTGGGGGGAGACCTCATTGCAGTCTACAACTTCCTCCTGAGAGGAAGAGGAGGGGCAGGCACTGATCTCTTCTCTGTGGTGACCACTGACAGGATCTGAAGAAATGGCCTGAAGTTGTTTCAGGGGAGGTTTAGGTTGGATATTAGAAAAAGCTGCTTCACCCAGAGGGTGGTTGGGCACTGGAACAGTCTCCCCCGGGAAGTGCTCACTGCACCAAACTTGTCTGAGTTCAGGAAGCATTTGGACAAGACTCTCGGGCACATGGTGTGACTCATGGGACAGGGACATCTTCAGCTATATCAGGTTGCACAGAGGAGCATCCAATCAGACCTTAAATGTTTCCAGGGAGGGAGCATCTACCGTCTCTCTGTTCCAGTGTTTTACTGTCCTCATCATAAAGATTTCCTTCCTTATATCTACCCTCTTTTAGTTTAAAACCATTACCCCTTGTCCTATTGCAACAGGCCCTACTAAAAAGTCTGTCCCCATCTTTATTCCAGGCCCCCCTTAAGTACTGGAAGTCTGCAATAAGGTCTCCTCTGAAGTCTCATGTACAGACATAAAAGTACACCGATGTAATCTTCACTGTTCATATTTGGGAGTAAGAAAGAGATTATCCTTTTACTCAGTTCTGGAAGAATTTTTCCCAGCTCATCTGACTTTCCTGTTCAGCTTGGGGCCCTCGAAGAGGCTTCACATTGACTCTGGCATACAGGAAGAGTTTGTCAGAGAAACTCAGTTCACACATATGAATTTCATTCCCTGTCAGGGAGATTTTGCTGAAATAACTATGTTTCATTCTGCATACAAAGTTGTAACCTTCTTTCATTGCATTCAAAAGATAAAGATGTGTGCTCAAAAGCAGATTAATTATCCACTAACTACTGAATGCTACCTTGTGTGCAAACAAAAGGCATTTACCTCAAACCCTGTTGATGCATCATGTAATAAATCTGACAGTTATGGCTTTTTGTCTTATCTTTCCTTGCAGTGTTCATAAAAGTGTTTCTCACTTGTAACAGATGGTCAAAGCACAGCTTTGATATTTATCTGGAGGTGAAGCCCTGCTGATTCCATTAAAAGTGAAGAATTTTCAGGGAGATGGAGGCAAAGAGGGATTTATTGTTACAATTCTGATTATTTCATACAATGCCTTCCTTTCCTTTTTGCTTGCAGGTGATGTGCCTTCAGGATTTTTTTGGTGATGATGACATTTTTATTGCATGTGGACCAGAAAAGTTCCGTTACCAGGATGACTTCTTGTTGGATGAAAGTGGTAAGAAGATGTATTTTCCAAAATGTTTACAACCAGAGTAGAGGGCAGATTTCCATATCATGCTAATTAAGCTAAAGTTGTATCACCTAAATTGATTTCCAAAATAGAATAAATATTTTGATTCTAAATATGGAAAATAAGAGATCTGAAAGCAACAATAAAGCTGTCTGCGTATACAGCATAAAACTTGACTTCAGCCTGAATTTCAGGTACCATAGGAAATAGTTACGTGTTTGGTGGAAAACTCCTTTTTTGTAAGATCTTTCTTAGTGTTTTGGCTTTATTTGCTCTTTGAATTTATTGTGTTTCTTTATCACAATCTTTCAGGCTCCCGACCCTTATAATTGAGAAACTTGACTGAAAAATTGGTTAGAAAAGATTTCTTTACAGTAGTAACTATTTCATAGTCATTATGTACCTACTTGTGTAACTTCACCACTTCATGATTGTTTTTGATGCAATTATATATTCACAATTCAAGATGGTGCAATTGTATTTCTGTGACTAACCTGTGAAACTGAAAGGCTTCTTGGTTTACCTGGATCCAGACAAATGCTCCATTCGCTTGTGAGGAGGAGAAGGCAGCAACTTGTGAAGACCTGATATTGTGAGTTAAAGGAGGACTCTGAAAAAAGAGGTATCTTCTGGGCAAGGGAATGACATTTGGTATCAGGCACAGACAGAAGCAAGAACATATTCTGCCTTCCTCAAGAGGACTTCATAATATGGAAATAAAAATCAAATAGTATACCAGATCTGCTGTTTGAAGTAATGAAATTGCTGTAATTGCCTCCAAGGCAAAATGTACTAACCGTGGAAAAATAGCTTTGTACATCTTTAGGATGGGAATTAGAAAGGTAAGGAAGACACTTGAGCAGTAGAGGAGTTTCCCAGGTGGCTATGTGGCCAGCATGGCAGTCCTTGCCTTTGATGAGAGGAGGGCCAGGTAGTTGACTGCATAGTCTGGATTCACTTGTGTCTCTTATCTAAAAGATGATGCTGGCAGCAGCCCAGTGTCTCCTCACAGTGAACCCTGGGGCAGTTTTTCCAGCACTGACTCGAGAAGTACTGACAACAGATTTGTCTAAATCCCGTTTTGAAGTACATAGTTGTTTTTTGGAGGTCTCCTGTCAAAGTACAGACATAGCCTGTATCTGCTTTGTCTTTATTTGTCTGACATATCAGCATCTTTTTGAGTAAGCACTATCTTTCTCTAAAACTTTGGTGCTTAAAACCATATTATACTGAGCTTAAAAAAAAAAAAAAGAAAAGCTTAAAATCTAGGCTGAAAATACAACTTCAGCTATTTTTAGTAGTGTTTGCTTTTCTACTAGGTAAAGATTCAGTGAACATTGACTGTTTTTACTGCAGGAGTGAAGAAAAGAGGGAAAATCAGATTCCAGTCTATGTCTCTAATTGCTTTGAAAAGTGTACATCAACTTTGCTCTCTCTTTTTTGGGAGATTTGGTATCAGAGAACTTCTTAGCTGATGTGCCAACTGATATACATTTAGTCAGCCTCCTCTGAGATTGGAGCAAGAGTTGGAGAATTACAAAAACAAGAGTTTTAACTTGTTTGCTTGGCAAATGAAATTTGTGTGATTGTAATGTGTCTGTGTGTTCCTTGTAGTTAATCTAAGAACATTACAATAACTAGGAAGTGCTGTCCAACTGTGCAAGTCTTGTAAAGCCTGTCTCTGCTTCCCTGAAAAGCAACTTGAAGCAATACTGTGCTAGTCTGTCACTACGTCCCTCCAGTATTTCCATTTCAGACAGATGATGAGAATAACAGTTTAAGTGTTGCAGCTGGAGAAGCAAAGAAGAGCAAAATTAAAAAGTGGGAAAGAAAAGGAGAGAGAATAAATACATAAACAATCAGGGTTCTGGGCTTTTGGGAATTACTTCTCAGTGAGGAAGAATGCCCTTGTTTTGTGATCTGGGTTCAGAACTCCTGATACTAGAGGCAAGCAAGAGACAAAGTTTCTTGGATTGGAAAACCAGTTCTGGGATTCATTTTGGCTAGCATTAAGTATCAAGAGAGTAGGTACCTGCAACTGAGCCATTCACAGTAGGTTTCTTTCCCAATAAATAAAACTTAGATCTATTGACAAGATAGATGGTAGATGTTTGGTCAACTCAGTTCAAGGTGTATGTTTCAAACAATTCATGGGAATTATGCTCCAGAAATGACTGGTTTGCTTTTGTAAAGGCATCCATATGCCTGATTTAGCTGTTCTTATCTACACTGTATGTCTATAAAGTTGCTGAAAAAAACTTTTAGGATGAGATTAATTCCACCCTGTCAGAAATGAAAAGTCAAAAGGCTCATCAGTCTGCATTATCTCTAGTCATCTTTCTTTATTCTGCTCCCGTGGCTTGCTCTTGCCAATGGATAACACCTTCTAAATAGAGTCAGAAATTTAGAAGAGCCAGCCTAGAAGTCAGTGAATCAATCTCCCCATGTAAGTGTGGAATTACCATTCCCCATCTCATTTCTGACATGCTTGTCTAACAAACCCCTTTAATGCCTATGATGAGGAGGAATCTGTAGCCTCCGGGGATGTTCTATGCCATTGGTGAACCCTTCTTACTGTTTTTTGGCTATCTTAGCCCAGATTACCTTGCTATAAATGAAACCCATTGCTATTTTTCTTATCTCCTGTGAACATGGGAAACAGATGATTCCTTTCTCTTTGAAAAGATCTGTGGGCTTCCAAGAGCCTCATCAATTTTCTTTTCTTTGGCTGAACAATTAGTTCAGCTTTTCTTTGCTTTGACTTCAGGCTCAAACCTGTCCTTGAAGAAGGGTGTGTGTTCCTTCTTTGTGTCATCTCCCTTCTCTGTTTTATGTCTTTCAGGAAGAGGCATTGCATAGCCCCTTGGCAATCACTTAAAAAAAGTCAGTTAATTAGGGATCTATCAAAGAGAAAAAACAAGCAGTCGGCACTATACATTGCAGTTTCTTCTCTGCCTTGATGTACAGATGGTTTTCATATTAAAAATACTTTATTACATGAAATGCAGAAACCATAGGCACTATCCCCATTGTAATTCCTAACAATCCTCTCCATATCTAACCTGATCAATAGATACAATAGCCACAGACACTTCCATCAAGAAAACTGCAAATGGGACATGAAGATGCATGTGAGTGAGCATAAAATTAAGAAATAAATACACCTTGTTTGTCAAGCATCAGTAGTGATGCTATTTTTGTAGCAAGTTTATGTGGGAAGTGTAAGCACAAAAGCATTATTTTAATGAAGGACACATTACATCAGCCACCTTGTAAGAAGAAAAATTCCTCATTACAGAGTATGACAGTGGCTGCTTCAGACATTGTTAGCTTGCAGTTTTGGAAACTTTCCCAAAAATCACATTTTCTTTAACTGATGGCTGTTCAGTTTTCAAAGAGGTCAGAGGATGGTTTTCTATAGCCTTCAGCTGTGTCTTGGCAGAGATTAGGGTCTAAGGGCCATGCTCACAAAAATATTTGCAATCAGCTATTATTTAGACACCTAAATAGGATTTAGCAATATAAATAACTCATGAGATTGGCCATAAATGAGAACATTTCCTTGGCTTATACACATATTTCTTTCTTAGCACTGTAAAATAAGAGAGTTTTTGAGGCTGGTAGTATCAGACTTAAATTTTTAAAAATTTAATTAGTTTTTATATTCAGTTAATGTTGGCTGAGTGCTTTGGAAGCTTAAGAGTTGCACAAACGTAAGTATGGCAGACTTCATCACATACTGAGATGCATCATATATACAAAAGCTGCAGTCTCAGCTGGCCAAAGCCAGTGTCTCTGCCTCCAAGTAGAGTGTAACCAATATAGAATGTCTGGATGTGAAAACAACTGCAGATCGCTTGTCCAAAGCACATATTACTGTGATGGAAACAATGATGAGAACTACTCTATTTTAGGGGGAAATTAAGACTGGAATCTTTGAAACCTAATTTCACTTTGACTTTGCTGGCCTGTGTTAGTCCTCTGCTCAGCATCTCTGTGCCAGCAGTGTTACTGCTTCATCTTGCCAGCAGCAGACAACTTGCCAGGAAAATCTGAGTCCTGTGGTGTCCACACACGTGCGTGAGCGCATGGAGGCATGCACACGCATCTGATCCAATAACTGTGGTTAAGGTCAGGAGTATCACGTTTATCCCTGTTAATAACTGTCATGTTACCCTAACTTTCATTAATCTGTCCTTCCTAAAAGAGGGAGGAAGGGGAAATAAGTTATAGTCCTCGTCTACCCTGATTTATAGGACAGAGACTGATGCGTTAAGCAGCTTTTGGCTGAACTTAGGAGTGGAGAGCATGCTGGCTGACTTACTCTGCCCTCGTCAAAAACTCGTGCTTTGGCAATTGGAAAGTAATGGTGGATTCTGGGGACTTTGAGATATAACTTTGCTTTCAACAGAGGCATAAATATAAAATGTTCCACTGCGGTGTGATACTTTCAAATGTCAACAGCTTCTTGGCCTTGAAGACAGATATTCTATGTATGAAGTGGAAACAAACTAAGGCAGGAGGGACCAGTCCTCTGGCTGTAGGTACCATTTAGACTAGTGATTCAGAAAGGGTACAAGAAAAGAAGTTGTTTTTCTGGTGGATTTGCATCCAATGCCCCCTTTATTTTCCTACTCCAGGACCTCCATTTTCATCTCCACCCTTTCATAGGCTGCAGACAATTGCAGAGTGCTCTCAGCTCCCTCCCATTTGACACATGACTAGTTGTCCTCATTTCCTTCCTGACAGTAATGACATTAATAGGGTCTCTCATTTATTCAGTAGTGTGACAGTTTCACAACTTGCGAAAAACTATATCCCCTCACTGAGACCACCCTTGTCCAGCTGTGCTGAAAGTACCTCCCCTCCTCCCTTGGCCCATGTGCCCATCTCGGCTCAGGCTGCGTGGAAGTACTCGGCCATATGGCAGCGTGTGAGTGACTCACTTGTTTCTGTTGTGTTAAAGTCTTAAAAAACGAATGCTG